AAACTCCACGCAGAAAGATTCCGGTGCCCCCACCGGGACGCGAACCGGCAACCTTCTTGCTGCGAGGCAACAGTGCTACCAACTGCGCCACCTTGCAGCAGTAATGTAATAATACTATGTATATCATGGGGTAAATTGAGCAAAACCAAAGCCTGTGTGTGTGTGTGTGTGTTCTTTACTTGACAGTTGCCATTTACCACACAAGATTTGATAGTAATCGTGCCTGATTTTCAGTGGTTTATAGTAATTTAAATCAAGGTAAAGTTTTAAATAATGACTTGGGTATGTTTTAAAATATTCTTTCATGTAGGTGAATTTCTAAACCGATATTTAAGCATCATTTGTCAAGTTTTCAGTAAATCAAATTGAAATAAGAAAGATCGACAGAATAAAAATGGAATGCAAGTACGGACAGTTTCTTGCACTGAGAAAGTAGATGTCTAACTCTGTAATCACTGATGTCTAAACTTCCGACAAGCACTTAACAACACACCGGCAAGGAGGCATTTAAAGTTCTCATCCCACAGATATTTTGATGATAGTGTGAAATATTTTGTACACCACAAAACATACTGAACATTCTACAGTTGAAAATCAACTTGTCATTTGTTGTCAAAAAACGTCTCTCTGAATTACTTCAAATCTAGATTGGATTTTCTCTCCTGCAACCTCTTGTTAATTACTAGTCAGCATATAAACCAGTATGATATAGTATCTGTAGTACACCATTATCAGTATATATCACAAATATTACAAGTCTGTTATAAACCAGATTACTGATGAGATTACATAGCTTCAAAGCACAAGTACAAGTTGTCTTTGAGACGAGAAGGCACAGCAGAAGCCAGGAGTCCGCCGGCTCCTCATCCAACGTAACAGATACTTAAAAAACAGACAAACAAACAAACAAACAAACAAACAAACAAACAAACAAAAAAACAAAAAAACGAAGCCCAATACAACAAACACCAGATGACACAAAAAGCAGCATTTACCTCGCATAATAATCCCAAGAAACAAACATAGGACAAGTACAAGAATACAGACAGCAAATCACGCTGGTCATAAATATAACGTGACCTTATGGCTTCTGTATACAGATATGTTTATCGTGCCAGTTATTAAGACATGCTTGTAACTTCATTAAGCGAGAGGAAATGTTTGGGTGTTTTTTGAAGTGTGCTCCACCGAAACATCCCGCCTCTCTGACTTTCATTTCTTCTCAAGCATTTATTCATAAGTATGGTATTCAGGAATGTGTGTTGCTTAGTCAAGGCTATAATTTACTTATCAGTCTAAATAAAATATGTAAACAACCTTGCAGCTGCTGAACAATATTGAAACAATTCTAAAACAATGTTATGTATAGCTGTCATTAAGGTTTAGAATAACAATTACAAATTACTATAACTAGCTAAAGCTTTTAAGTCCATGTTGTACCATCCTCTGCTCTGTCAAAGTTGTAAAACAACCTTTCTTCTCCGCAGATAAACATCTACTGTCGTCAACCTAGTGGCCTACGAGCTAAAATGTAATTTGCTTTGTCCCAAATGCAATTAGGATGTAAACAATGTGATTTACCATGGCTTGGATGTTGCTGTGTGTATGTAGAACTCCTTTGGGTCGCCCTGTGGTACCGCTGGTGTAGATGATCATAGCCGGTCGATCAGCCCAGTCTGCGACGGCTGTGTCTTCTTCTCGTTTGTCTGCCTCATGTAAAGCACCCAGGTTAGAAGTAGGGGGAAGTGTCAGGCATGGCAGCCCCAGTTTCTGTGCCAGTGGCTCAAGGGTTTCAGTGTAGGGATGCGCTGCCACAAGCAGTGAACTCTGGGAATCAGAGATTATGTATTCCAGTTCAGATGGAGGGTGTTTTCGGTAGAGTGGCACTGCTGTCCCGCCACTCATCCAAGCTGCCCACTGTGCCACTGTGTAGGAAGCATCATTAGCACACAGGAAGGAGATTCGCTTTCCTTCCAGACGACCAAATTCAGAGTTCAGAGCCGCACTGATTCTACTTGCAAGACCTACGCTGCTGCAGTATAGCTGCTTGTAGCTGTGGCTGCCACTGCTGTCTATGATTGCAAGCTTTTCTGCAAATGATGGAGCTCTGGCAAATACTGGCTTCTGGTTTATCCTCATTGATGGTGCAACAGTCCATCTCTGAGCCCTGCTTTGAACTGTAGTTCCCAGTAGCCATTTCCCTGGCTCTGATGGACAATGAGTTCTGTAAAGAGTGGCTTTCCAGCGAGGGAAAGTCCATTTCAGAGAACTGCAGGCAGCAGCAGCAACTCCTGGCAGCATGTTTAAATCTTAGCTGTTCACACTCTCCAGAGTTAGAAGCTCATGACGACTCCATCCTGAGTCTTAAGCATCGACTGATATCAGATGACATCTCTGTGAGTTGAGAAGAAAAAAAGCATTTGAGCTTAAATTTGAAGAAGCAGCACATAAAAGACAAATCTAATTAGTCTCCTGACCTCTTTAATAATTATAATAACAATAATAATAATAATAATAATAATAATAATAATATTTGACCAACTGGCAATCACTATTTTCATTCATCCAGCATCGCACTCATTAACCTAAATTTACTGCATGTGGCTTAATGGTATTGGTAGTGCAATACTTTGACAAGTGGATTGATAAAAGATACATGATTGGCTGAATGAAGAATTAAAAGAGCACTCCGTCTTCAATCGATTTAGCATTGCACTTCCACAAACCTGGGGACATAGCAAGAGAATGGTCTTTAAAATTAGAGCAGCAAAGGTATTCTGACTTTTAGTCTCAAGTATGGGGGAAGCGAATGAACTCCAGATCCTACATACATTCCATAATTAGAGCTGCAATGATTAATCAATTCTTCTTAAGTATTTATATTTACTATTTTCTTTACTGCTTCATTACAGAAAATGGAAATATTCTGGGATCAAAACAAGACATTTAAGAACATCTTGGTCATTGAGGAACGCTGATCGGCATCTTCCTCAAATTTATGAAATCTGATCGAGGGTTTAAGCTGTTGTGCCAGTGTTGTGTCACTATATAAATTTATCTTGTCCTCCTTGTGTAACAGCTTCATATGGTATCTCACGTGGCAATACTCCATCATGTTCCACAGTGAATATTGAGCTGAAGCACTGAAATCATGATTAGATATTTTCCCTAACTGGCTCATTCCTACCTCACAGCTCCAGTTTATAACCCAGTTTTTGGCTGAAAAACACAATCTCAAGCAAGATTATTTTGTCAGACTTTGGAAAGATCCCTCCACAGCCACAGAAACGAGTTCACAGAAGTCATCTATTTTATTCTCTTTTGTTTCATAATTTTACCCTTGTTTTTTTACAGTGTACTTGTTTTTTTTATTCTCTTAATATTTTTTTCTGTTATCTTACCAGTATTTTTCTTTTCTTTAATGTGCTATGGCATGTTTTGTGCTCATGCCATTTTTTAAAATTAAAAACAAAACAAAATTGTTTTTTGTATTGATTAATTTATAGTGAAACTCTGCATTTTACTTTTGTTGTTGTTGTTGTTTTACTGCACTTCACTCTATTTCTCCACTTTTTTTCTAATCTACTCTTTTATTCTTTCTGTTGGGCCTGACTTGTTTTTTTGTTTTACTATTGTGTTTCTGTGTATCCTCCTTTATTTGTGGCTTGTCTATCTAAACATTTTGTGAAGGTGCTATACAAAAATGTATTATTTTAAAAAAAAAATAATTATATGACTAGTGTTTATATTTACTAGTGTTCAGGCAGAATAGTAATCAATGTGATAATTAACCTGCAGTTAATATGTGAAATTGGTGCTCAAGCTTTGAGTTTTTGAAGGTCACTTGCATGTAAAAAAAAAAAACTAAAAAAAAAAACCCAAACAAACAAGATGTCACATTAATTATATAAAGAAACGGTATATTTAAGCAACAAAGGAAAATATCTGATAGCCACCAGTGTCTATAGTATTTTCGTATTTATTTCCAAAATCAAATTTTTGCCTTTTTCAGAACCAAGAAAAGATGGGTTATCTGCTGTGTGTGAACATTTTCAAGTATAACGTTTCCACGGTTAATTTTCATATATGAAGTATACAGCCGATGTCACCATTTAAATCAAACAATATGCTGTGAGAAGACGGACTGACGATGATAATTACAGCCGAAAACAACCGAGAAGCTGCTCTGTTGGTTGTTTACGCTGTGGAGTTTCTGACTTTATTTCGGTAACTGACGGATGAAGACAAATGACGGCGTTTCAGCAACACAAACACGAAAAATAAAAAAACACACTTCAACAGCAAATTAAACATTACTGTTTCTTAAATAACACCCGTGTTCCACTGTGCCCGTATCTCCTTTCACAATTTCACATTCACCTTACCTACAACAAAAGCCGGTACCACTTGCAGTGAAGGACGGTGTAACGGCATTAATCTTCCGGCATAAAACAACAGTCGTTGAATGGTTCCTGCCTCGTAAGTACGCAGTATGCACCCAGCTCTTGTCTTTAATGGCATAAATTAAAAAGTATAGTTATTACGATTGTAGTGCTCTTAATTATTTAACACATATCACTACACTTTAAATGCACACACAGAGAGATTATGATCTTATTGCTGCAGACAATTTTATTATTATTTTTGTAGATAATTAGATATTTTTGTCTTATTTTGATATTGTTTATGTTTAAATATTGCACCTAATCTGATGTAGTCCTCCAACATTTAGGCGCCTGTGCAGTGATTGCAAGTGAGACAGCGACTTTGACATATTTGTATCATTAATTATAGATCTAGTATGACTTGTGCCCGTCATTCTGTGGTTCTTAACTCAGCTTGGGGGTTGTTGGCTAGACCTCCCTCTTCAGCCCAATTTTGGAATACCTGCAGATCCAGTGGAGTAGCTGCTCACCAGAGACGAGGACTGGGGAGGGGAGAGCACAGCATATATGCATCTACCCCACACAGAGCTGTGTTTGGCTTTAGATCACATGCCAGTCCTAACACTTAGTGTGCCAACTAGCTTGGCTGGCTCCATCGTCATAGTGCAAGTGGGCACATTCAGCCGCCAGCTGGCAGTCGTGGGCCTCAGATAAGAGAATGGTACAGACATGGCACACGTTCAAAAAGTTTTCACTTCCCTCCCCAAACCCCCTACACTGTAGACGAGGATGGCATGTTCCTAACGAAATTGGTGCCTTTGTTTCAGAGAACTCCCCTCCACTCTCAGGAATAGTATCGTCAAAGACCGCTCGTTCCCATTCGTGGGGAAAACGCTATTGAAGGGGATGCTATGCTACCCCAGCAACTATGTAGTTTCCATCCAATCCTTTTTGTAGTGCGTTTGCGCCGTCTTTAGTCTTTTTTTTTTTCTTTTTTTTTTGATGCAGATGGCACTGACACATTTTCCCAGGATTCAACCAAAAAATGATCGAATGTCGCTTCTGACGAAACAAAATAAGGCACAGACGACCCATGTTTTTGGATTTGTTTCCTGGAAGTTGGCCATATTTTTTCGACACGCATTATATGGGGACTGGAATCTGAGCCAGTGAGACACTTATTCACAGCTACTGGAGACGCACAAGGACGTATAAAGAGTGGAGGATAATAAGCAGCATCATGGCTATCATAAGGAGTTATGGTTACGGTTATGGCAAAAAACATGGTTAAACAGAGTATCTAGCAAGCAGCGACTGCCATTCTGCTGCAATGGCCTGCTGCCAGAGCACCATTCAGAAAAGCCCACCTAATAGGATCTCGCCACTGATGGGCAGGACGGCCGCAAGCAGGCGCCAACTCCCATCTTGGCAAAGGACTGCATCTGAGGAAAAGAGAAAGAGGGGACCCCCCACAGATCTGTGAGAGAGGCTGAGATGGTAACACAAACTGTGGGGAGTACCCAAGCATGTGTCAGGTTGGCATCAATGTGAGAATGTCTTGGCAAGCGCTCCGTTCTCTCCCCTCCCACCCCAGCTCACACACAAACACACTGTTGCCCTGCTTGGAACACATGGTACATCAGCAGCGGCATCTGGCCACGCTGACTCCTGGCAGCTGCGCTTCGTCTTCGCCAGTTGGGAGTCTTGGCACTGCCACTTCATCAACTACCTGTGGCTCCTCCTGGGTAAAAAGGCGAGCGATGAATTATTCCGAGGCTGCAGCTGCAAACTTGAATTTCATCCAAGAGATTCACTATAAACATATGACTACCTCACAGAGCACATGCCACCCACATACTAATATGGTGCTGACAACACGACTTGTATTCTGCACGGTGGGACTTTTGTATCATCATGTGATGGTATGGCGCAGTTTAAGGTGAAAGCTGAAGGCTGCTCTGTGAGGATTCTGTGCATGTTGCGCTTACATCAAAGTCAAGTGTTTTTAAATTGACCCAAGGAGAAGCTCGCCATGGACAGCTGCGGGCTTTTGGCTTAGAAAAACGGATTTATAAAGATTCAAATCAACAGAAGCGAGAGGAAAAGACAAATCTAAGTGGCACTAACACAACATTCAGAAGGGCATGGTGCTCTTCATCCGGCAGCACCAGCCTTTGTGTTGGGAAATGATGTTGAAAGATCAAATCAAAAGCCAAGGATTACACTGAAAGGAATTTCCCTCCATTTTTACAATGAACAAATGGATGGGTGACCTTTCAACTCCACAATTACTGCCTCACATTCCATTTCAAATGGAGGTTTTGACAACCAGGGACATTTGCCTGAAGCACTTTGAATATATTTCAGCTGTGACACTGTGGATTGCTAACAAAGGTTAGAAGCACTTTGTCTGAAGATTACCTTCCCTCTGGAAAGAGAATCCAATAATATTAATACCAATAATAAGATTCATTTCTCTTTTTTTAAAAATGGCATCTTTCTTGCCAGCGAAGGTCAACGTAGATCATGTAAAATCCTTTTCTCAATGGCAGAAGTGCTCACAAGGATTTAATTTGTTACAGCTTGTTTTGGAAAGTTCAAAATGATAGACAGTATCATGTGAAACTGATTTGTCAGTGAACATGCCATCTACTGGTCTGGATGATTCTGTTTCAACACTGTAGTGCATTTAATGCCAACCCCTCTCCATCTGTCCAGAAATGTGTTTGGGTTCTCTGGCACGCCCCCTTGATTTTTCCTGCAGAGAAGCCCTCACATGGAACGTAAAGCTTTCTATTTATCCCAAATGTCAGCTCTTCTGCCGACCAAGACTGACATCAGAGCTCTGTAAAAGAATAAAAGCGTATTTATTGCGAGCACTGTTATGTTTTGAGTGGCAACATGGGCACTGCCTCAAGTTATTGATCATATTTGTTTTTGTTCTCTTAACACATAAGTAAACTCACAGGAAGCAGAAGACGGAAGAGAAAAGCAGAAAGCCAAATCAAGCATTAGGAATTCTTGACATCTGCTCGCTTTCCATACAGTTCTTGGTTTGCTCTTGGCTACTCTAGAACTGCATGACCCAATTTGAACTCAAAACTTGTTGTGTTAGTATGTTGTTTCAAGAGAAATGTTGTTGGCAAGCTGTTAGAAACTGTCAAAATTTAAATGCATTTCTCACTTGAACACAAACACACACGCACACACACACACACACACACACACACACACACACACACGCACACACACACACACACACACACACACACACACGCGTGTTCGCACTCCTTTTTTTTTTTTCTGTGGGTGTTAGTCAACTGACAGTGACCCAGTGGGAGTTTTTTCTCCATCTGTGTCAGTCTGACCCATTTTAGCCCTCGGCCACGTCCAACTGTTCCATGTCCCAAACATATGTGGGGTGGCAGGGGGATAAGCGAACCATTGCCACACGGGACCTGCAGACACACACTGCAGATATGACACTGGACCCTGCTCTCCTGTCCGCCTGCTTCCCACAGCATATGCCATCATCACTTCCTCTACGTCCTCTGAGTTGAGCATGTTTGTCATGAATGTGATTACCTGGTGAACTGAAGTGAACCTTGTAAATATTAGGTGTGCTTTATTGTAGTTTTTTTTTTAATGCATTCCTGTTCATGCTCTCTCTCTTTTCAGTTGTTGTCCTGACTTTGCATCTCATTCGCTGCTTAACCTCTACTCTTGAGTATGCGCCTGTATTTCTTCTATTTCTACTGGCCAGCCTTTGATTGGCCACTTGACTCGGTGGACAGACTGGCTACACTGTGTGTGCAAATCATAATACTAGCCAGTGAGGGCAGAATAGGCCAACCAGAAGAGGGATTGTTTTTTTGTTTTTTTTGGTACATGTTGGCAGATGAGATGGTTTCGTTGCACAGAGCCAGGACCCGCTGGGGACTGAGGGGTGTGAGGCACATATGGGCAAACAGGCTGCTGATGAGCTGCTTGTATGAGCCTCTCATCATGGCCTGGGAGAGTGATGTCTCCACCAGAGGATTTGAAGTGGCTACGTGCTGCGGATTTGCATTGTCTGGTCTGGCACCAGATCTTAGATTCATGATACAGATACATTTGTCTGCTTGAATGTTCTCCCATTAGATTGCTCTAAAAATATCCAAATCTATAGGGAGCACACGCTGTATAACAATAAAGGGTGTATAAAAATGCCTGTAAGTTGTTATTGTAATTTACACGTTCTGTGAATAACTGAGGCAGACAGAGTGGTCAAATGGACAGAATAAAGTTGATTTAACTGTAGTCTTAAGGTAACTCACCCTAAATAAATTATATCCAACTTCCTGACCTACTGGCTTTAATAAGCTTTAGATCGTTCCAGAATTTTTTGATGGCTTTCCACTAATGCCTTATCGATTCCCCTTCTTTCCCTTTTAACTCCCACGTATGGAAATGGAAAGTATTTTGCCAGACAGATGATCAGGACTTCCACCCTCCTATCTAATTCAGCTCACTAAGCCTGTCCTTCATCCTCAACAGTGTGCTACCTCTGAGCATTTCAAGCGTTATAGCGTCATATCCAAACAAGTCTGCCAGTGGATGCACTGCATCGCATCCAGATGTTTATTTTTATTTTATTTATTGTTTATTTGATGTGAACATCACAATTACATTGGACAAACCAGATGCATTGTTTGAGTGTTTTAGCACATGTGCTAATTCGCAACACTTGTCCACAGGAGTCTTTTGAAATGATAAAAAGTAATGAGAACAAAAAAACAAAACAAAAGATAAACAAACAACAAAAACAAACAAACAAAACAAAAAATACAGTGTACAATAACATCACAACAGTAAAAGAGAGGCAGTTTTACAGGTTAAACACATAAATAAGCTTCAGGGCAAAGGCAACATGTTCAAGCAATCAACCAGTTAAAACTATTCATGTGAGCACTCTTGTTGTGAATGTAAACTGAAATAATTAGTTCTCACATCTTTCTGCTCATTTTTGAAACACGTTTGCAATAAAAATTGACAGAGTTCAAATCAGGAG